GTCTCCTGACTCAGCCTTCTCCCCAGCCTTCTCCTCTCTCTTGTCCTGCCTACACTATACTTCCTGGCCAATCAGTGTTTTATTTATCAATCAATCATAGCAACATTTATTCACAGCATACAGGACATCCCACAGCAACACTCATAAATAAGAATTTAAAAAAGTTATTCACAGTCTCATTAGCAGTAAGTTCTCTGCCTTTTGAAAAATTCATTGACACTCACATAATACATATATTTACAGCAAAATTTCAATCATATATCAGTAATTTACATCTTCCAACTAAGTGATTTATTTTAAATGTTTGTCCATGTTTCACATTTTTACCTTATTTTTAATGTCCATGCAGATGTCCATATATGAACCACAATTATTCAAATACTGTGCTATCACCACCGATTTAAAAAATATTTCTACAAACATCTTTTGTGACTGCACACCTCACAGTTTTTGTTTCTGATCCAGTTGTGGGTTGACAGTAACATGTAAAATGTTTAGAAGTTCGCTGTAGACTACTTTCTATAGGCTATAATATAGTTCAGTGCACATTTTCCTAACTCCTCAATATTTCTGGTTATTAATTCACACAATACTCCTTTATCCTTGACTATAAGATTTTGCGAATTGAACACACCACCTACTTTCACTCTTTCTGTTAAGGCTTCATTCCTCTCAGGCCCTCCTTGTAGCACACCTCACAGCTCTTCAAGTGAAGTCTCTATATTTTGAATTACAAGGGCTTCAAAACTGACTTCACTTGGAAATTCAATTGGTAGATGAAATCCAGGATTTATGCCATTTAGAAAGGGACTTCCTGACATTCAAAATTCCATAAACATAGACCACACTATTCTTACACCTTTCATCAACATATTATGTGGGACTAGAGAGAAAAATATTTTTATTCATCATTCAATCCCTGAAGAGTTGGTGGAAATGGCCTTTCGAGTTCTAATTCAGCAACCATGTCAGTACACAGAGAAGAAATTTTGACTTCATGAGGCAACTTGGTGTAGTGAAAGGCCTTTAGATCTAGGCATCTGGGTTCAAATCCTGATTGTGTCACTTAACAAACGTAGCTTGCTGGGAGCACTGCTTTTGTCATCTCTCTCAAATTTCAATGCTAGCTGGTTCATTAGACGAGCAATTAAGACAGTTTTTTTTTTTTGTGTGTGTGTGTGTGTGTCAAATGCCTTCTCCCTATACCATGATTCCTTTTATAGTTAAAGAATCTTTCATGGGGTACCTAAGTGTACACTGAGTGTCAAAGCTTAGTAAACTGTGAATATGTGGTTAATGAGGAGCACATAGAATCCTTGTCCTGTGATCACATTCATTGTGATTGGCACTACGCAACTCTTTGGAATTCCTCCCATTTTGTATTTCTTTAGGTCATTTGCTTTTTGAAATGGACTGGAGACCTGTGCTGGAAAAGATACAACTAAGAAAGACAGGCAGCTAATGACTGCTGAGAGGAGCTTTGGCTCCTCCCGGGCATGAGCCCCTTACTAGAACAGATGGGTCAGCCCTGAAATCATATGCACACAAACAACACAAATGGCCTCCAGCTTGTATTTATGTATTTCTTCATATGTACATATACATATAGATGTAACAATAGTATTTAAAGAAAAGGAGGCTTGAGAGTAGGAAGGCACGGGAAGGGTTGGGAGAAGGGTACCTGGAAAGGTTAGCAAAAGGAAAGGGAGGGGAAGGGATGCAATTCTATTTTAATTAAAATATGTTAAAGATATCTACTTTAAAAATAAGTAATTAAGTAAATACACAATGCAGAAAAAGAAGTTTAAAAGACCAGATTAGAGCAAATCTGACTGCCTGAGCTACAAAGCAATCTCTTGAATTTCAAAATTCTCTCTATTCTTATTTTACATGTGGCAAAGGGAATAAATAAATAATAAGTAGTTTCTAAAAGGAGGATCTGAGGGTCTTCCCAGAGATTATTCCCAGGGGAAAGTTGAAGTTTAACTCACTCATTCCTTAGGATAGAGGACTTCATAAGTATTCCCAAATTGTGGATTAGTGATTCTTCTCCTTCTCCTTCTCCTTCTCTTCCTCCTCCTCCTCTTCCTCCTCCTCCTCCTCCTCCTCTTCCTCTTCCTCCTCCTCCTTCTTCTCCTCCTTCTCCTCCTCCTTCTCCTTTTCCTTCTCTTCCTTCTATATAACACACACTTTCTAAATAGCACAGGAGCTATTCCATCAAACTACACATGAGACTAACTAAAACACTGGCACAAATCAAAAGAACGGGTATAGGGTCAACATGGCCTGTTCAACTGAAGGTGTGTGTGAGCAGAATGACCAAGAAGGAGTCTGGGATATTCTAGAGTTACATCTTAATGAGGGTGAAAAGTTTGGATGGCAGAAAAATGAAGTCAAGTTGTTCAACAGGGCAGAGCAACATGCAGCCTAAAAGCAAGGGACAAAAGTTTGTAAATGAGACATATATCATCTATCATCTATCTATCTATCTATCTATCTATCTATCTATCTATCTATCTATCTATCGAACTAACTAACTATACTCAAATGTATGATTGTGATGCCATCCCCCCAAAAAAAATCAGAGTGGATTCCATGAGAAAAGAGTAGTAGTTAGCAGCTAGAAAGAATAAAAATATCAGAAAGAGATAAAACACTAAACCAAAATGAGATAATTCTTTAAAAAATTATGAAATATTAGAGCCAAATGTTGCAAAGAAGTCAAATAAGAATTAAGTGCTTATTAGATTTTTAAAACTGAGAGTATTTGCTGTGATTTATAAAGATAATTCCAATTTAGGTTTCGTGTAACATTCAGATCATTTGTGATAAACATCTTTTAATTTTATGGATGGAAAAACAAAATTATTAAAATTATTAATTATTAAATCTTGACCAAGATCAAGAATAAATATTGGAAGCTGGCCTTAAACCCTTGCTTACCCAAAGCTATGACTCATACTCTTCCACTTCTTCAAATTGAACATGAAAATCTGCGTTAACTGAGATACTAACTTAGATGTAATATTGACTACAGTCTTGATAAAACATCACAATATTCAGCTTGGGGCTGGGGAGATGGTTTAGTGAGTAAAGTGCTTATGATGTAACCCACGAGGACATGAGTTTGGATCCTGAGCACTCTGTAATTCTAGTAGGAAGAGTCAGGTAGATCCTAGGGGTTTGCTGATCAGTTACTCTGGTGAACACAGCGAGTTGCAAGTTCAGTAAGAAAACCTTGTTTCAAGAACAAAAACAAAAACAAGGCAGACAACCACAGGGGAAGGGGAAGACATCTTGATGTCAACCTGAGGCCTCTACCATACCATTGGTGAACATATCTGCACACATACACATGCATGTGCATGCTCACACATAGATACCACACACACACGCACACACACACACACACACACACACACACACACACACACACACACACACAGAGGCTTGTTGACATCATATCGTAGAATATTTACTATAAGGGATGAAGTTATAGAGATATGACATAATATATTCTATCAATTCTCTTCAACTCCCTATCTACTTTCATCTCTCTTCTCTCTCTCTCTCCCTCTCTCTCACTCTCTCTTGCTCTCTTTTGCTCTCTCTGTTAGCTAGCTTTCTGCTACTATGACAAACACTGGAGAGTAAATGCTTATTACAGCTCGTAGTATTGAAGGTTTCAGTTGATGGCTCACTGACCACATGACTTTAGGGCCCATGGCAAGGCAGTAGAATATGGTAAAAGCATGTACTAGAGTGAAACTGGTCAGAGACAAGAAAGTGAAAATGAAAGAGAACAGGGCCAAGGGAACCATAGTCCCCTTCAAGGACATACTGCTCATGCTTTGAAGACCTCTTGCTCACTTACCTGAGTTAAAGAGTTCTAAAGTTTACAGTTCCTCCTAACACTGCCATCCTGGACTAAACTTTAACAGATAAGCCCTTGAGGGACAGTTAAGGTCCAAACTACAGCATCATCCCTTCTTATTCAATCTTCAGCTGACTGCTTTGATAATATTGTCAACCAGGAGTGAAGCTTTGCAACGTAAATGGGTATAGAGAGTCACATATTTAAAAACAAGGTTCTTCTATTTTCAGAAGTACAGGTAGTACCAATCTTCTAAAATAATGTCTCCCTAAAACTATAATCTTTAAGTTGACTGATAGACCTTTTTCTATCTTATAAAACATAATTGGCAAGATCAAACGTAACCAAAGTTTAATAGTTACCTTCACATTTACCAGATGCCTTGTTAGCAATGCAAGATTCTAGGTCTAATGCCAAACAAGCCAAAGCAGAGCCAAATGCTTTAAAGAGACTCATCCTATGATTCTTTTCTAATAAACATAGATGTTTGCATCACCTAAATGCTGTCAGAGAGCGGTATTTCAGAATAAGCTCTTTGGCAAAGTTAAAAGAAAGGCATGCAGGAACCTGAAGAAGCAGTCACTCTAGTGAGTCAAAGCGTGTGTGAATCTCATGTAGGAAATTCAGCTGGCTTTTGTTTTATACAGTGGAATTTTGTATTAAGTGAAGGAAAGTAATTGGCAGCATTTGAGCCCATTGTTCATTAATGTTTACTGCTTTTGTATAAAGCAACGTTCTTAACACCACTTGGCTTTCTAACCTAGGGTTCTTGCTATGATATTCACATTTACACATATCATTTTTAGCATTAAAGGATGTCCTTACATAGGTCCTCATTTTAGAGGACACACAGCACAAAATAAATACATAGAGTCTGGATTATTAAACAAAGGCTTTAATACTGTCGTATTTCAGTAGCACAATTTGTTTTGATAGCACAATTCAGTGTTTTCCCCTTTACATTGCTATAGCAACAATTCTGTTGAAGTTACATATCGACAGAAATTCCTTAGTAGAACAGAAAAGAATTTCTTTTGTAATTTTTGTTTGAAGCCTATGCTGTAGTGATGAGTTGAGAAACGACTTTTATGCAAAATAATTTATTTTTGCCTTTTTTTTGAGACAGGGTCTCATGAATCCCAGGCTTGCCTTATGGATGACCTTCAACTCCTGACCCTGCCATTTCTGCCTCTGAAATGCTGAGATGACAGGTATGTACCACCACTCTCAGTATGTAAAAAACCTTTTTAAAATCTTTCTACCTGGGCTGGAAATATGGCTGAGTTGTTAAGAGCACTGACTGTTCTTCCAGAGGACCCAGGTGCAATTTCCAATACCTACAAGGTCATTTAAAACCACCTGTAACTTATTACAGGGGATCTGATATCTTTTTCTGATCTCCATGGGCACCAGGCATGCACATGGTATACAGGCATACATGTATTCAAAACACCCATAACACATAAAATAATAATAAGAAATTGAAACCTTTCTACCTTGTATGAATGCATATACATACACATTTGCATGCCCAACTTTGTAAACATAAAAAGCCATCTTATTACTTAAATTACATTAAAATTGGATAACAATTCATAATCTCCTTTTCAAATTGAGAGAAAACGAGTAGTCAGGAGCATTTGGCATCAACCTGAAACACCTGTGCTGTTTTTAAATCGCCTATATGGAGTTTCACATAAAATAAGCAGAAAATCTTAGCTGTAATTCACCAGTTAACATAGAATAAGAGATAGGATTACAGAATATGTTTCATGTTTTAAGAGATACTAGCTAGAGCCTGACATTGTGGGAATGTACACCTATAATTCCAGCACTCAGGAGGTAGAGGCAGGAGGATCTAGAGTTCAAAATCATCCTTGACTACATAGTAAGTTCAAGGCCAGCCTGGGTTACATAAGACACTGCCTGGGAAAAAAAAGCAAAAATAACAACAACAACAACAACACACACACACACACACACACACACACACACACACACACACACACACACACACAAAAAAAAAAAAAAAAAAAAAAAAAAAAAAAAAAAAAAAAAAAAACCAAAAACTCAAACAGATACTAGTCAGTGATGTACACTGCTACCTAGGAAATCTAAGGAAAAGCAAAACAGTTCACAAAAGTCAAAACTAAGTTGATTCTCATTTCTAAAGCAAGGTTACTTCTTAGTAATTTTTCGATGTTTTTTCTCATTGTTTTTGTGAACACTTTCATTTGTGTTATTCCATTTTATTGTTGTGGTCCTAGAGACTGAAGCCAGTGCCTCGTATATGCTACCACCAAGCTATATCCCCACCCCTTAAAATTAGCCTATTCTAATAACTGATCCAGAAGTTCCCAATGTTTTTCCTTACAATATTGAGTCTCTGATTTGATACAAATTTCTAATGAATATTTTTTTTCAGAATCTCGTATCATAGAAGGCATTGTTATAACATCTGAATTTCTTTAGGTTTGTGAAAAGATTTTATTTATGGGATGGAGAGATACCCCAGCGACTAAGAACACTTGCTATTCCTACAGATAGCAAGTGTTGGAGCCCTATCACCCTTACAAGGGTTCAAAATCATGTGTAACTCTGGTTCCAGGAGATCTAATACCATTTTCTGGAGTCCTGCAAGCATGTGGTACTCACATAGTGATACACATACATCTAACTAAAAATAAAAACAAGCAAATAAATCTAAATATCCTCATTTATTTACAGTGACAATTAAAATAGGAAGCTTGTATATTGATTTTAAGTTACTTCTGAATTTTAAAAAATTTAATTTTTAAAATTTTAAGAAATTTTAGGGGTATGAATGAATGTTTTATCTACATGGGTGTAGGTACACCACATGCATGCATTTTTCTTTTAAACCATAAACAGGTTATTTTATATGTGGGAGAAATTACACTAAAACTTGTTTTTGAAATTTAGAATAGTTGTCTTTGAGACAATGCAATTAGTTATAAACAAACATGTGCACACATGTCTGTACCTCCAATTTGGGAGACATTAAGCCCCATATTATTACTTAAACTGTATTAAAACAGGGTGGTAGATCTTCTTCTACCACCAAGTTAAACAAATGTTCTCTAATCTTATGATACTGAATGTGTCCATCCATTGAACAAATATGAACTGATGACTTACTCTGACACAAGTTGACATGGAGAACATAAATACTCAATGCTCTTGAGGCTTCAAGACAAGACTACTTGGTGTACATGCTAAGTAAAACAAAATGAAAAATACACAAATGAAGCAAAACTGTATGCCAGTAAATTACAAAACCCTCTGGTTAACTGGATCGGGGACAAAGGTTGTTAGTTTCATTGGCTGCAACTCTCTGAAAAGAACCCAAAAGGTCAAGCTGACCTCCTCCACACGGTGACTACCAAGGTTCAGTGGTTGGTTCTTGATGTGCAGCCAAATTCTTGGACATTGGTCTGATATTTGTAGTTAGAGCCTCGGATTAATTTAGGAAACCATAAAATGGGGTATGCCATGCCACAGAACATTCCCAGTTCTATTTTATCATATTTAATAAGAGACAACCCATGTTTAAAAAGAATTCCTTAAAGTTCACACTTGGTTAAAGTTGTGTGGCAACTGTTATCTGTGAATCATTGCGATGAATTCAGAAACGGAGAGATACGAAGTAAATATGATCATTGCTTGTGACGAATTTTGTAAGAGAAGGGAATGGGTAATGTGGTGGGTACCATCTGGGACTGGAACAGGGGGAGAAATGAAGCAAAGCAGGGCCTTTCTAAGGAGGTAAAACAGGAAGTGAGAGCTGTAGAAGAAATCACTGAGAGAAAGAAGCACCTGCAAGCCTCCCACGTAAAGGGAACAGAAAGTGGAGAGGAATGATATGAGAGAAAGAACGTAGCTACAGTAAGGGAACGTGTGAGCTCTTGTGGGAAGCATTTTTCTAAACTGGATTACACATATCTAACAGCATCTTGCTATTGAACAGGACAGCTAAGGGTATCATGTAGTACGAGACTCCCCCTAGATCAGCCCTCTAAACAGCAGGATTTGCCACTCACTGTTCAGGTTTGTCTCAAGCTGGTTTGGTGCTCCATCCACCGCACTCCAGGATCCATGCTGACGGAGCAGTTTTAGTGACCGAGTGAAACCAGAAAGCATGGCAAACTGCGTGCAGGCTCTTAAAGCTTGCACACGTGGCAACGTCCCTTGAACTCACATTTCATTGGCCAAAGCAGTTACTTACCTTAAGTCGTCACGGAAGCATAGTTCTCCAGTGTGCCTGGAAACGGGTAGATCTGGACACGCTGGCCAACAGGAGCAACTAGGAATTTGTTTGTAGCAGCGTGTGTGTGTGTGTGTGTGTGTGTGTGTGTGTGTGTGTGTGTGTGTGTGTGTGTGTGTGTTTAAGTGCTTTTATCCAGAGAGAAAGTCCATTATTATTTTAATCTAATTCTCAAGAGACCTGTATGACAGTTAACAACTGCTGGACCAGTTGAGAACTGTCATGTAAACATAATTATTTTTACAAGGCAATTTGCAGTCTGAATAAGAAGCTAAAGTGATTCAGGAGCTGTGTTTTTATTTGTGTGAGGGGTAATAAGTCAAAAGCTGAGAAAAATGCGTTGACCAAAAAGGTAGGGGCTTGAGTGTAGAGAGTAGTGGCTTAAAAATACCCAAGTCTGAGGGGAAGTGATTAGTATAAGGAGATCCCAGAAGACCCCTGGGGGAGATGGTGGCTACTACTCTAGAGAGGTTTGACTTTGGGCATTGAAAGAAGTAACTCTTCCCTGCCTTAGGGAAAGGGATGGAGAACCAGGTACTCTCATGGAGCAGTTCACAGATGGTGGGGAAGGCAAGGCCTCTACTTTGTCTGTGATGTATGAGCAAGGTCATAGTCTAGATTAAGGGGATTGTACTGCATTTCAATAACATGGAGCAGCTACAGGTGAAAGGTGAAATCGAGCTCACTGAGAGGGGGAGATAATAGGGCTGCCCACAGCACAGGGGCTAAGCTGGTGTCGGAGAGCATAGATGTGTCAGAGTGCCAGGAGGTGGGATTCTGTGATTTCCCTCTATCCATGGAAACAGGAGCTGAGAAAGTGTTTGGATTGCTTGAGGCTGGGGGATTATAGGGCAGGTGCGACAACATGTTTCACATAAGCTGAAGTTCCAGAGTCTCTGTATAAACAATTAATTTCATTTTTAATTAAGGAACTAAGTTGGGTGCATGGGTATAGTGCAGTGCTACAACCTTTGCTTTGCATGTGGAAGTCATAAGTTAGAGCTCTAGCATTGTAAGCAAACCAAAACCCAATGAACAGAAAGCTGCTCAACAATGGTACAAAGAAACTGCAGCCAGCTATAGCCTAGAGTGGTCTTTCATGAACTAGAGGCTTTGCTCCTTGTAAACTTACCTTGAGCAAATGATTGATGGAGGCAGTATAACCATGGACAAGGATGGGCCTTAACTTATCCCTTACTGCTTAAGTAAAATTAATCATGGTTCAGCCACATGAGCTTTTTATATGCTATGAATACTCCCCTTGCTCACTAGTAAAAATCTGGCAGAAGAGAAGTAAAAGAAGAAAAAGAGAGAGAGAAAACTCTAAGACTATAATTACATACTCAGACACAGAATTGCTTAGCTAGGCATCTTGCTATTTAATTAGTATGTTGTAAATCTTGCTGCTGTGGCTGATACTAAGACATGGTATTTAGAGGAACCATTAATGAAGACAAAAGAAGATCTGGAGTGGCCCAGCTCCAGTACAGACCCCAGGCTGAACTAATGTTATATTGCATTTCTCTTTCCCCATTTGCCTGCTGAATCCCTGACTTACCCAACCCCCCATTTCGGCAAGATTACATCACAGGCATTTGACACACACGATACTGCTCTGTGTAAAGGCTGCATATGCACGCTAAAGGCTACATGGCTCTGACAGCAATTCTGCATTATCAAACCGTGTTCCTCAAAATCTTTCATTTCATTTCCTGTTTCTTCTGAATGGAGGTCTGACCTCTTCGGCATCTATTGCTGACAGACAGGTGAGGCGAGCAAGCCACACCCGATCATTTGGAATTGTACTTGAGGCTGAAGTTAGATGCAACTTTTTACATCCTTCCTTAACGGAACTGAGCAGGAGGCAAAGAAGTTCAAGTTGTAAACCGAGACTGTTGCTGTGAATGAATGGCTTTTCCCCAGAAG